GCCTCCTGGGTTCAAGCGATTCTCCTGCCTCAGCCTCCCAAATATGTGGGACTACAGGCCTGTGTGACCACGCCTTGGAGTTTCACCATGTTGGCCAGGCTGATCTCCAACTCCTGACCTCAAGTGAGCTGCTATTTTGGTCTCCCAAAGTGCTGGGATTATAGGCATGAGCCACTGTGCCCAGCTTCAGGTGTATTTTATTAATCTTGTATTCATAAATAGGTAATCCATCTGACTTAATATAATGTCTGGTGTTCAAAATGTTTTTAAAATAAAGTTTTACATCAAATTATAGTATTACCTCAAAGACTTATGTCACTATGGTCTTTATGCAATATTTGGAAACAATCTAACAATCCAACCAGAAAAAGAATGGTCCATTCATGGTGCAAGCAAATGGTAGAATATTATAATCTGATTAAAAAATATAAAATTTCCAAAGAATATTTAAAAGAACAGGGAAATGCTCATGATATAACATTAAGTGGAAAAGGATAACCTACATATACACACTACAATTTCAGTTTTCTTCTAAAAAGTTATATGCACACATACCACATATGCAGAGGCAGAGAAAAGAAACTGGAAGAAATTAGCATTTTGAAGGTGGTTATTTCTAGTAGTAAGAATCTAGGTCAATTTTATTTTCTTCTGTTCATATTTATGTATCTTCCAAGTTTCTACAAAGAACCTGTATTCTTTTTATAACAAAAAAGGTTACTTAAAACTAGCAATGCTACCAATTAAGAAGGTAAATCACTTCACCACACTCCCACCAGTCTAGGCATTACAATTTCTTTTTCCAATTCGATCTAATTTAAAAGGAGGAAAGATGGCATCTGGTATCCTATAAAAAGTCATTTTAAGCCGGGCACGGTGGCTCAAGCCTGTAATCCCAGCACTCTGGGAGGCCGAGGCAGGTGGATCACGAGGTCAAGAGATCAAGACCATCCTGGTCAACATGGTGAAACCCCGTCTCTACTAAAAATACAAAAAATTAGCTGGGCATGGTGGCACGTGCCTGTAGTCCCAGCTACTTAGGAAGCTGAGGCAGGAGAATTGCCTGAACCCAGGAGGCGGAGGTTACGGTGAGCTGAGATCGCACCATTGCACTCCAGCCTGGGTAACGAGAGCGAAACTCTGTCTCAAAAAAAAAAAAAAACAGTAGTCACTAACCATATAAGGCCACTTAAATTATTTAAATTGCCTAAAATTTAAACTTCAATTCCTTAGTCACACTAGCCACATTTCAAGTGCTCAATAACCACATGTGGCTAACAGCTACTATTTTTTTTTTTTTTTTTTTTTGAGACGGAGTTTCGCTCTTGTTACCCAGGCTGGAGTGCAATGGCGCAATCTCGGCTCACTGCAACCTCCGCCTCCTGGGTTCAGGCAATTCTCCTGCCTCAGCCTCCTGAGTAGCTGGGATTACAGGCACGCGCCACTGTGCCCAGCTAAGTTTTTGTATTTTTAGTAGAGACGGGGTTTCACCATGTTGACCAGGTTGGTCTCGATCTCTTGACCTCGTGATCCACCCGCCTCGGCCTCCCAAAGTGCTGGGATTACAGGCTTGAGCCACCGCGCCCGGCAACAGCTACTATATTAAACACACAGATATAGAACATCTCCATCACAACAGAAAAAGTTCTATTTAGATGGAATTTGTTACAGCAGACATTGCTGAACACATAGTGGGGAAGAACCCAGCTAACTGTATTTAATTGTACGTCAATGAAAATTCTTAATTAAATCAAGAGTGCTTAGAAAATGGTACGAAAACCTGAAGGAATGGAAGACCATTTCCATTTTAGTTAAACCTGCTAGAGGAAAAGAGATTGTGTGTGTAACTTACATCCGCTTTTGCTTTAAAACTCGCAATGCTTTCTGCTTGACCATATTCTGGAAAGAAAAACAGATTTAATAAAAATAAAGTGGAAAACAGACATACAGTAAAAGAAATTTCCCATAGCCTCAAACTCACATGCTATTTCCTCTTTTCTTCAAAATAGTAGACATAATGGCTCCTGGATTCTGTTCTTCCCCTCCCAAAAGCAGGTATCTCTAAGGTCTAGTCTTTAAGCGTTAGCTCCTGTCTTTGCATCCCACATCCCAGAATCCTGAACTACTTTCCCTTTTTCTAATTCATATTATCTCCACCTCTAGCCCCCAAAGTGCTGATTCTGTATATCCAGTTGCCTTAGGGAGATTCTTCATTTGTATAGCCTATCAACTTAACCTCAACAATTCCTAACTCCTAAACCTTACCTCACCTTGGAAATAAGTAACAATGGCCCCACCAATCTCTCAACTCTCCAGGTTGAAAACCTTTATATCAACCTTATCTTTCCCCTTTCTTTCTTCATCCACAGTAATCCTGCTAACTGATTTCAGAACTCACTTTCTTTTTTTTTTTTTTTTTTTTTTTTTGAGACAGAGTCTCGCTCTTGTTACCCAGGCTGGAGTGCAATGGCGCGATCTCCTCCGCCTCCTGGGTTCAGGCAATTCTCCTGCCTCAGCCTCCTGAGTAGCTGGGATTATAGGCACGCACCACCATGCCCAGCTAATTTTTTGTATTTTTAGTAGAGACGGGGTTTCACCATGTTGACCAGGTTGGTCTCAATCTCTTGACCTCGTGATCCACCCGCCTCGGCCTCCCAAAGTGCTGGGATTACAGGCTTGAGCCACCGCGCCCGGCCAGAACTCACTTTCAAACTGATTCTTTGGTTTCCTATCACCATGGTTTGGGCTTTCATTGTCTCAAGTCTACATGGGCTTTCCTGCCTCTGGTTGTTCTTCATTCCACACCATCCACTAAGATGGCTGGGATGGGAAAGGCCTTTCTTTTCTATAGAATTCTGTAGATCATTTTGCTTGTCTTCTCCAATGAGGAAGGAAAAATAGATATTACTTCACAGGTGATCATAATTCACATTTACTGAGTGCTACTGTGTACTAGACATAGTGCTATGCAGGTCACATCAATTACCTAATTTAATCCTCACACTGTAAGGTAGGTATTATTTACATATGGGAAAACAGAGGTTCAGTGATATACCTAGGCTCACATGGTTAATAAGTTATGGACCTGGAGAAAACAAGGTAGTTCTATATCCACAGTCCATGTGCTTAAACACAGTATTTTATGTTCCTACCTAACAGGAGTGGAAAATAAGCAACTTTATCAAGATCAAAACTACTAGGCAGTGACAGTGTTAGTATTAGAACACTGGTCCTAGATGCCTAGTTCAGTTTTTCCCAGCAGGCCACTCCTTAAGCAGTCTAATACACCAACCTAACGTGACCAGCTTGGCAAGTCACTGATCCTGAGCATAACCTAGTCCTCCTCTCCAGATCACTACCTTCTCAGTATAATAGGCTAATTCTCATATACATCCTTCTAGACATGTGATCAGCATCTCTTTCCACATGATCAAACCCCAGCCTCCCTTCCATATTTGGTTGCAAACTGTCCTCACTAAAAGAAACACTCTCACATGTTTTCACCTTACCAGATTGTAAGCATCTCTTCAGTAGGGATGTTCACAGCCCCTACACTAGGCTCTATTTCTATAGGTGTTAAAACTAGGCTGTGCCAGCACCTTGTGCAGCAGTTGCTGCCTACATTACCTTTGCAGGACCCTCTCTCATCTTCTTGATCTGATCCTTGTACTTTACTAGCTCAGCATCCAATCGAGAAATCTTCTTGTCAATGGATTCTGCCCTGCTGTCCACCTTGGGGGAAAACATCAAATGCACTGGTAGTTACTGCAATACACTTATTTCAGAAGGGGCAGGTAGAGAGGAAGGAATATAGAGGAAGAAAAGAAAAAAAGGAGCTTATGGGGAAGGGTGAAAAACAGTGGTTAGCAAAGAGGGGTGTTCCCAACCAGAAACCCTGGGCTTTTATAAATTATACTCTTGACCTTCCCTGCCATACTGCCCCAATTCTGATATACCAGCTAGCCCTCAAGGGGGTTGGGGCAGATAATAATTTGAGAATCACTGGGCTGAGTTGGAATTTCCCTGGAATCAGACTAGCCAGGCTGAGAGCTCATCCAAGAGGAACGTGAAATGGGCCAGTGCCCGGCTGATTGTAGATCTAATGCCACTTCCTAGATCGGGGATGGTGGTTTAATCTGAAGGGCCAGGATTCTAAGTTTTGTGTTACTGAGATCCAGGATTGAGGTACAGACTTGTTGACCTAAGATATCAAGCTGAGTCCTGATGTGAGCTGGGGATGACAGCTCAAAGAAGGGTAAGAGATCAGGCAGAACGAAGTGGGAAGCGTATGTGGGCCTAGGGTTGGGTGAGGTGAGAGGATCAAGGCGAGAGCGAGTGGACGGACAATGGGCATCAAAACGCGTTGGGTGCAGGTAGGACAAGGCAGTGATGGGGTTAGGGGGTCCCTGGTTTGTGGCGTTAGGAATGACTTGGGTAACAGGGATGAAGGAGAGAAGACGAGATAGAGAGGGCCGACGTGTAAGGGGCCCAGGACCAGGAATGAAGTGGAGGAATAGGGGCCCGGGGCCGGGGGTGGGCGGGGTCGGGTGTGTCAGAGGTCCTGAGCCTACTTATATGCATGGTCAAATGCCCACCGTGCCAATGCAGTCAGTCAGGCTGGGCGGCGGAGCCTTGGGTTTCGCTTTCCCGAAGAATCGGTTCATCTTGGGCGGCCGCGAAGAAACCTAAACACTGGAGCAAAACCAGAAACGGAAGCAGAGTCACCCCGCCTCGACTTCCGGCCCCACCCCCGTGCGCAAGCGCAATATGCCTCCAGCAGTTTCCCGATCCTTTTTCCGGATTTTCAGTCAGGTCTTCCCGGGAAAGAACGCTAAACATCTCGGTGCACCCGGAGAGAGACTGCAGGGGGCGGGGCGTTGGTGGAAGGAGTGGGAGGGGTTTCACCGGAGCAAGGCGGGGCCTCAGCTGAGTGGGTGGGGCCTGGAGGCAACTATAGCGGAATAGGGCGGGGTAGGGGGCGGGGCCGGGGCGGGGCCGGCAGGCCGGGGCGGGGACGGGAAGTAGCCGGGCGGGGTTGCAAGAAGCGGCGCTCAGCTACCACCGCTGGGCGCTCAACAAGCGTGGGCCTGGCTGCGCGCGGCGGGGCGCGGAGACCGCGAGGCGACCGGGAGCGGCTGGGCTTCCGGCTGCGCGCCCCTCGGCCCGGTCGGGAGTCGCGCCAGTCGGAGCCCCCGACCCAGCACGGCCCACCTCCTTCTCGGCGTCCATCTGTCCGGGGTGCAGCCAGCGGGCATGACCGACCCACCAGGGGCGCCGCCGCCGGCGCTCGCAGGCCGCGGATGAAGAAGAAAACCCGGCGCCGCTCGGTCCGGAGCGAGGAGCAGACCCTGAGTGAGGAGGCGACCGGTAGCGAGGCGGCCCAGAGTGGGGAGGCGACCCTGGGCGAAGATATGAGTCGGAACCAGGAGGTCACCAGGGACGAGAAGGCGACCCAGAGCGAGGAGGTGACCAGGGAGGAAATGGCGACACCTGGGCTCACCGTGACTGTCACCCATAGTGAGTGTCGGGCGTCGGGTGGGCTCCGTGCTGGCCCTGAAAGCCCGGCGGGGTCTGTGGGTTTGGCCACGTGTCCTCCAGAAGCGTGTGTCCTTGGTTTGTCCTGCTGTCCGGCAGCGTGGGTTCTTGGTTGCGTCCGTGGGACTGGCTTTTGTCCCGGGCTTGTGTCTGCACTCTTTTCCATGTGGCGGGTGCATTTTGTCTCTGGCCATTTGTGCGATCCTGGGTGTTCGAACTTCTCTGTGCTTTACGTCGTGGGTCTGCTTGTGTTTGTGTGCCCGAGCAGTTATTGTGGTCTTTGTGTCAGGCATATATTTGGCCACGTGGTCTACGACTGCTCGATATGTGATGAGCCTGGCGGGGTGCTCCTCATCTCCTGAGTGCCTTCTCCGTGTGTGCCGCATGAGTGGGCTGTGGGTCCAAGCTTTGTATTCTGGACACCCTTTGGGTCTGCCTGCTGTTGGAGTTGACACAACCAAATGAAGTCAGTACACCGGACAGCTGAGTCCATGAGGTTTCCCCAAAACCAGCTAGAGGAGACCCAAGGGTCTGGGAATCTGGAGACCCAGATTCTAGATCCTGCAGTTTTGAGTGACCTTGGGATGGATGAATGTCTTCTTTCTAAGAATCCTGTTTCTCCTCTGTGAAGTAAATTTGGTAACCCTGGCTTTTGCTGAACTCATGGAACTGTTGGGGGAACCAAAGCTTGGTGTAATGTGCTGGACGCAGGCTTCCTCCTTATTGTCCACATCCCTGGAAAAGAATTGGCATCTCTCCTTCCAGAAAGAAAGGCTCTGCTGTTTGTTTTTATTTATCCGTTTACTTAGCACCAGTCATGGGTGCACTCAAGAGTGTCCAGTGGGAGAAAAACAGTCACTTGCCTATGATAGCAAGCGAGATGAGACCCAATACAATACAGGGTACAGCACAGTCAGGCCACAGGAAGCAGATGGCTTGTGACAAAAAGGGTGGGCTTGGAAATCAGCTAGATCTGATGTCAAGTTTTGACTCCAACAGTTGGGTCTCCATAGGCAGACCTGAACTTGCCTGAAGTCACAGTTTGCTCATCTGTGAAATAAGGAGTAACAGGTAGACCTACTTCGTGGGTTTTTTCTGAGGATTAAATTAGATTATGCATGAAATGAGTCTAAACAGTCCTTTATGCATAAGTGCTTAATATGTTAGATGATATCATTCATATTGTTTAGTTATTATGATAGAAGAAACAGAAATCCTTGAGGAGATCACCAGAGGAAAGCTGGGTGGCACGGGAGTAGGCTCTGTGGAGTAGGTGGCATATGAGCTGGGTCTTGAAGGCTGGGCAAATAAATATAATAAAAGTGTCATCTTCGTTCATTGCTTTTCTTTCTCCCCAGGTAATGAGAAGCACGACCTTCATGTTACCCCGCAGCAGGGCAGCAGTGAACCACTTGTCCAAGACCTGGCCCAGGTTGTTGAAGAGGCCACAGGGGTTCCACTGTCTTTTCAGAAACTCATATTTAAGGGTAGGCATTTCTTTTCCAGCTTTTCCTTATGGTCAAAGGACAGTTTTAAATCTGCTTAACTTTTCCTAATAGTCATTCTGTTTTCAAACTGGGACAATTTTTATTTATTTGTTTATTCATTGAGTTCTTTAAAAAATATTTATTGAGGACCTGCTAGGTACTGGACACTTTCAAATATCTGGACAGGTATCAGATTTGAAGTCTTAGGATGATGACAGAAATCTCACCATTTTTGATGAAGCTCCTGGGCAGTCTTCCCTGGCTAGGTTAGATCATCTCCCTATTATATGTTACCATGGTACTCCCCGCTATTTCTGCATCAGTTCTATGAAATTACTATTAAATAATCATTTTTTTAGTTGCTTAACAGCTGATTTCTCTGTTAGAATAACAGCATCCGTGAGGGTGGAGATACTGCTATGTTAGCAGTGCTTCACATTGTTCTGACTCAAAGGAAGTTTTGAACAAACTTACCAGGGGCCTGGTTGTGGCAGGCTCAGTGGATGATGCTAATTTCTGCCAGGACCCACACCATCCTGACTCCTGTCCTCTGTCTTCCCACTCCCGTGAGAATTTATTATTTTATTTGTTTATTTTATTTTATTTTTTTGAGATAGAGTCTTGCTCCATCACCCAGGCTGGAGTGCAATGAATGGCCCAATTTCAGCTCACTGCAACCTCTGCCTCCCAGGTTCAAGTGATTCTCCTGCCTCAGCCTCCTGAGTAGCTGAGATTACAGGCGTGTGCCACCATACCCAGCTAATTTTCGTATTTTTAGTAGAGAGTGGGTTTTACCATGTTGGTCAGGCTGGTCTTGAACTCCTGACCTTGTGATCTGCCCACCTCGGCCTCCCAAAGTGCTGGGATTACAGGCATGAGCCACCAAGCCTGGCCGAGAATCCATTATTCTGGTATCTACTGGGGAAAGACTTATCCCATTGGATATCAGTCATTATAAAGAATTTAGTAATAGGAGGCATTTTTACTTATATTTCGTAGTGTAACTTACTGTCTAATTTTAAAAAATATTTTGTTTCTGAATTGGCAGTAGAAATTAATGTTTCAAAATAGAGGAAAGCATGAGGAAGAAAATGTTCCCATGGATAAAACCCCTCATAATAACAGTGTGTCATCAGCATTCATTATGGCATTGAAGTTTCCTGCAAAAAATGAGCTTTAATGCCTACAAAGTCTTTTTTGTTTTTTTGAGATGGAGTCTTATTCTGTCATCCAGGCTGGAGTGCAGTGGTGTGATCTTGGCTCACTGCAACCTCCACCTCCGGGGTCCTCAGCCTCCCAAGTAGCTGGGACTGTAGGTGCATGGCACCACACCTGGCTAATTTTTGTATTTTTGGTAGAGATGGGGTTTTGCCATGTTGGCTAGGCTGTTCTTGAACTTCTGACCTCAGGTGATCCACCCACCTCGGCCTCCCAAAGTGCTGGCATTACAGGTGTGAGCTACCGCACCCGGCCAAAGTATTCTGTAGTATGGTTGATCAGCCCCTGGTTCCTGAATATTTGGCTCTTTCTAGTTTCTCACTATTATGAAAATGTTGCCCTGAATATTACTGTATAGTAGTTACTGTGCAGGTGCATGTCCAATTATTTGTTTAGGGTAAATATCTAGAGCTGAAATTACTGGGTCAAGATATCTTCTAAAAAGATACCAATTCTCATTAGTGAACACACTTGTCTGTTTCCTGTATTCCTGCTGAAATTTATTTTTAGTGTTGTAGAATTGTTACAACTTGGCCTACCTTTCTCTTCTTTTTAGGAAAATCTCTGAAGGAAATGGAGTCACCATTGTCAGCACTTGGAATACAAGATGGTTGCCGGGTCATGTTAATTGGGAAAAAGGTAAATTCCTTTTTCCATCAGAAATCTTCAGAATCAAATGACTAAAGTCTTTTATACATGTTTCTGTTTAGAAGACTAAATTTGGGACCCAGATTCTATATTGGTAAAATACAACCTTTATTTGTTTTATAGGATTACCAATTTTGTTCTCATACCCTCCTGCTCCTGTTGGTTAGACCGTTTGCTCTAGGAATTAGGAGCAGTTGTGCTGCCTTAATATGTGTTTTGTTTTGGTGGTGGAATCTTGGACTGGTTAAAATGGTGCCTGAGAAAGGCCTCATTCACTTGGAGTAGAATTTGCAAGATACCTTTTGTTAAAATAAACTTGTAGATATTAAGAATAAATACTCTGTGACAGTTCAGGAGCCTCTTTCCCTTTAACCAACCTTTTATCTAAAATCTCCCACAAGAAAAACCTTTGACTGGAAAGAGAGGTTCAGATTAAAGAACTGAGGGGAAAACAAGAGTCAGTTGGTTACAGATGACGTCAGCAACCCTTAAGGTGATGAGAGAGGGCTGGCACATTGTGACACAGCAGAATTATTGAGCATATGAAGTTCCCTTATTTTGAGTGAGGTAGCTGAGTAGAGAGAAGGCAGAGATAAGTAAAGTGAAAACAAAGAAAATCTAATCCAGACTTAGAACTGCCAGGAGGCTAGAACTCAGGACTTAGCTACAATGAGGAATGAATAATTTGGGATAGTGTAACTAAACAGACAGCTGCTAGACCTAGCTACCAATTGTTTACGTGAAGAGAAGGGGGAAATATTTTAAATTTCTTGCTTTAGGGTCAGGGAGAATGGTGATGGGCAATAGGCAGAACTGAACGGTCAAGTTTGAAGAAACTATAGGACTTTTTACTTGGAGCTGACACAGAAGGTATGGAGCAAAGTGTGAACTCAAGGAGGGCACCATGACACATGTCTATGGTCCAGCAACTTGGGAGTCTGAGACAGGAGGATCACTTGAATCCAGGGCTTTGAGGCTGCAGTGAGCTATGATCATGCCTGTAAATAGCCACTGCACTCCAACCTGGACACCAGAGTAAGACTCTATCTCAAAAAAAAAAAAAGTCTGAACTTAAGTCTGCTCTAACTCTTTTGGACTGTGTGATACCATGTTACTTTACTGCATTAAGCCTCAGTTTCACCATCTGTAAAACAGCAGTACCTCCCTGATAGGGTTGTGGTAAGGCTTAAAAAAAATAATACGGTAATATGCTTAGGATAGTGTGTGGCATATAGGAAGTGTTCAGTAAAAGTATTCATCATTGTTAACCAACATCATATTAAAGAGGAGAGCTCAATTGGAGGCTGCCATTTAGGAATTCCATTTAAAGGAATAGTAGAATTCTGCCTGTCTTGCCATTCTGGGCTCCTCACAAGTGTTCACTGAAATGTTTGCCCTCCAGGCTTCAGTCCTGGTTGTTGATCAGTCTAGGACTGAGACTAAATCTGGCATTTGGATTGTCTCCATTCTCAGCACCCAAGCTGCCAGGGCCCTCACCAGAATGTTTACCTAACACCTTCTGTCTAGTCTGGAGTCTTTGTAGATGGAAAACTTGATGTATAACCCTTTGACTTGCTTTCCATGAAGCAACAGAGTTTAAACCATTCTTTATAGGTGAGTGGTTTCATGCAGTTGTGGTCAGATATTTTTCCTGACAGAGGCTAGTATTCTTGTTGATTGCTTTTTCTTTTTCTTTTCTTTTTTTTCTTTCTTTCTTTTTTTTTTTTTTTTTTTTGAGACAATCTTGCTCTATCGCCCAGGCTGGAGTGGAGGTGCATGATCTTGGCTCACTACAACTTCCACCTCCCAGGTTCAAGCCATTCTCCTGCTTCTGCCTCCCAAGTAGCTGGGACTACAGGTGCATGCCACCACACCTGGCTAATTTTTGTATTTTTTAGTGGAGATGGTGTTTCACCATGTTGGCCAAGTTGGTCTCAAATTCCTGACCTCAAATAATCTGCCTACCGAGTCTCACCTGTCCTTGTTGACTGTTGACTTTATTTTCTACTTAAACATTTTAGAACAGTCCAGAGGAAGAAGCTGAACTAAAGAAGCTGAAACACTGGGAGAAGTCTGTGGAGAAGATAGCTGACCAGCTGGAAGAGTTGAATAAAGAACTTACTGGAATTCAGCAGGTAACTCTCTTCATGGACCTTGACTTTCTGCCTTCTGTCAGAGCTTCCTAGATATACCTTGTAGTTATGGGGACAGGCTCTGCCGTCAGACTCCCTAGGTTCAGATCCTGGATCCACCCTTTCTCTTACCGTGAACAAGTTTATCTTTGTCTCAGGTCCCTCATCTGTGAAAATGGAATAATAGTGACATTTCCCTCTTAGGATTGTTGGGAGGATTAAATAATTTAGATTGAGTTTGACACATACTAAGTGCTTTATAAGCATTTATTGTCATAGTTATTGCCAAACCCCAGCCAGCATCCATCTGTGCTCACAGGAGAACACCTGGCATGCTAGGATCATTTATTGTCTGAAGTAGAACAAGTAGCTTCTCCCTGTCTGGGCTGTTGTAGTCTGTTTGGCAAGGCAAAGAACGTTTTGCTGATTATTAGAAGGTCCAAGTTGAACATGATAATGGGGTTGGGAGAGTCATCCTATTCAATTCTTTATATTAGAGATGGGGTACTAAAACCCAGCGCAGATTAGGACTAGCTCAAGACCACGTATTTCTTTTTTTCTCTCATTTTGTAACATTAATTGGTGTGTGTTTGTGTTTTGGCATTTATTTATTTATTTATTTATTTATAGACAGAGTCTCACTCTGTCACCCAGGCTGGAGTGCAGTGGTGCAATCTCAGCAGCTCACTGGCAACCTGTGCCTCCTAAGTAGCTAGGATTACAGGCTCCACCTGCCACCACACCCATCTAATTATTTTGCATTTTTAATAGAGATGGGGTTTTACCATGTTGGCCAGGCTGGTCTCAAACTCCTGAGCTCAAGTGATCTGCCTGCCTCAGCCTCCCAAAATGCTGGGATTATAGGAGTGAGCCACCACTCCTGGCCTATATGTTTGTGTTTTAATTACAGAATACATGCTGACTGTACAAAAGTTTTAAGTACATGTGTAGGCACTAATACGGAAAATAAAAATTACCCATGAGGGCCTAACTCAGAGATGACATTACCAAAGCCTGAAATGTATTTTTCGTCTTAAAAAAATATTTGGTATAGGCTGGGTGCAGTGGCTCACACCTGTTATCCCAGCACTTTGGGAGGCTGAGGCTGGTGGATTACCCAAGGTCAGGAGTTCAAGATTAGCCTGGCCAATGTGGCGAAACCCCATCTCTACTAAAAATACAAAAATTAGCTGGGCATGGTGGCAGGCGCCTGTGATCCCAGCTATTCGGGAGGCTGAGGCAGAAGAATCACTTGAACCTGGGAGGCGGAGGTTGCAGTGAGTCAAGATTGTGCCGCTGCACTCCTGCCTAGGTGACAGAGCAAGACTTCCTCTCCAAAAAAAAAAAAAAAAATTTGGCCAGAAGGAGGGTGGGAAGCAAAAAAACAAACAAAAAAAATTTTTTGATACATTATGTATGCTTTGTAAATTATTCTTTTATTGGATAAAAAATTAAACATTTTCTCATCTACTACTAAAAGAAAAAAAATTAAACATTTTCCTGTGATAGTACTTTTCAAAGCTTGCATTTCATCGTATATAAGTGTGTCATTTACCTAGCCAATTCTGTATTATTCATCATGTAATATTATTTTTAGTATTTTGTGTAATGCTTCTTTGACTATCCTTGCTTTTTTGACTTTTTGATTTTTTGGTAGAATAAAGTCTTTGAGTTGGAATTGCTGGGTGATGTTTAAAGCTCTTGTTACATGTTATGAAATCTATATCTGTAGCTCTTGGCCATGATAAACATCCTCAGAAATCCCAGCTATCCAACTCTTATCACCAACTAACTGGTCATTAGGCCAAGCTGTATGAATGAACCATTAGACAATTTAATAAAAATAAGCACTGCTGCCATTCATTAGCATGTGTCTGTGAACACGTGTACATATATTCCCTTTGCCTTGAAGTAACCCTCTCGGGTGTGGGTATTATAATCTTCATTTTAAAAATGAGAGTACTGAGGCATGAATAGTCTTAAGTAATTTGGTCAGGAACATATATTCCCTTTGCCTTGAAGTAACCCTCTCGGGTGTGGGTATTATAATCTTCATTTTAAAAATGAGAGTACTGAGGCATGAATAGTCTTAAGTAATTTGGTCAGGAACATATATTCCCTTTGCCTTGAAGTAACCCTCTCGGGTGTGGGTATTATAATCTTCATTTTAAAAATGAGAGTACTGAGGCATGAATAGTCTTAAGTAATTTGGTCAGGAACACTTGTTAGTCAATGGCAGTCAGGATTCATGCCTAGGCTTTGAAGACCCTAAGCCTGTGCTTTTAACATCTGCCTCTTGTGTGCAGGTATACACTTGTGACTGAGGGCTTCACTGGAGCCAAGCCTCAGGAGGCATGCAGCCACAGTGCGTCATGTGAGGTAGAGCAGACTACAACCCAATAGAATTCTTAGACTGGCCCCAGGGCCAGCCTTTGTAATATTTCCAAGAGATGAAGTTGTGGATCTGACATGTGACCTGGCCTGCCAGGGCTGTGTTAGACTCAGTGTGGTTGCTTCATTAGTATTGTGGTGTGGAATTTTCTGTCAGCCTCAAAGAACCCTTGCAATAATGCATTATTCCCCCACAGGGTTTTCTGCCCAAGGATTTGCAAGCTGAAGCTCTCTGCAAACTTGATAGGAAAGTAAAAGCCACAATAGAACAATTTATGAAGATCTTAGAGGAGATTGACACACTGGTAAGTAAATATTCAGCTGAGAAGAACTAGTTTTCTTTGACTTTATTTCAGTCACTTTCACTCTTTCAGTAATTTACTCTCCTATTGCCTAAGCAAACCGATCACTTGAGAATTTTAAGTATCTACTATTGTGTGCCAATCATATTGCTAGGTCCTGGGTGAATGCACAATAATAAGACAGTTCCTGCTTTCTAGGCACTCACAGCCCTCCAGCATAGGACTTTTATCATTTATACTTATGTTTGCCAATAGCATCTGTAATCAACATGAAGCTGGGACCCAAGTAGTCCACAATCTTGTGGTCAAAGTAACAGAGGACTTCACTTTCTCTGCTCCTCATGTGACTGATCATTCTGCAGGACTACTTACTTATAGAGGATTCAGCCAGACCCAGATCTCGTCAGGCTGTTGAAAACCATTAACTCAGGCTCTCTTTTGCAGATAATAGTAATGATATTAGCCTGATGCTTCGTTCTTGAAGGTGACCTGTGCTGTGTGCTTCTGTTGGCCAGAGTTGTAAAGCAGCAGCAGCAGGCACTTTTCCTGTCACAGTGAGCCCATGGTCTGGCTCCATACATAGGAAACAATAGAAGAACAAAGTCCGTGTTACAGATTCATTCCTATGGCCCAGACGTTGAGAACAGAGGGAGCTTTTATAGGGACAAGAGCCATGGAAGGGCCATATGGGATACAGACCCAGGGAAAGGGTTCTTGAAAATGCACATCTCATTTACATTGGTGACCTGTGACCTGTTTTGTGTACTGTGGGTGTTTCTTATGTGTTCTCATGTCATTTTCACTGAGGATTATTTATGTGTCAACTTACCCTTCCATAGATCCTGCCAGAAAATTTCAAAGACAGTAGATTGAAAAGGAAAGGCTTGGTAAAAAAGGTTCAGGTAAGTTGCGTAACAGCACATGACAAAGTGTAATATGTTAATATGTTGGTATGTGTGTTTATCTGTTCAAAGTCGAGTAGTGTAGAAGCATGGTGTGTGGTATGGGCTTGTTTTGGTTATTGTTCATTTATCAGCAAGAACCCCAAACATCAGAGGAGAGCCCCCTATGTCCCTGTAATTATATTTGAATTTAAACTATTTAGGGAGGGAACTCACTGGAGAGCAGACAGGGCTGACACATTACACAATTCCAGGAGGCAGTATTCATGCATACAGTGCCCCCTGCAATTGTGCAGTGGCCTTGAGGCAAAGCTTTTGTGGCCTTTCCCACCTTTTAGGGGATTGCTGGCCTAGAGCGTGGTCAGAGACCCTGGTCCTATGCTTTCTCCCTCCCCTTACCTTGGAACCCAGGCCAGTTGCCCATCTCCATTCATGCACAGTCTGTTTTGGGTCTCAGTCGTGGGTTCCCCAGAATGTTTAGGCAAAGAGCCTTGTGCGGGCAGTGGTTGGCTATCCCTAGATGGGCCCTCACTGCCCCGTGTGTATTTTCTAGGCATTCCTAGCCGAGTGTGACACAGTGGAGCAGAACATCTGCCAGGAGACCGAGCGGCTACAGTCTACAAACTTTGCCCTGGCCGAGTGAGGTATGACAGAAAGAGGCTGTGTTGTCCTGAAGAATGGCACCACCAGCTCTGCTGTCTCTGGAGCAGAATTTACCTGATTTCTTCAGGGCTGCCAGGGGCAACTGGCCCATTGTCAGTTTTCCTACTCCCACACCGGTTCTCAATGAAAAATATGGTCTTTGTGATTTTAAGTAAAGCTCCTGTCTGTTTTCTCCTTCTGATCTCTGTGGTTGTGCTGTCTAGCAATCCACCTTTTCTGGAGAGGGCCACCCCTGCCCACATTTTCCCAGCTGTTTGAACTTTTGGGTGCTTTCTTTGGGCTGGTGAGAGCTCTAATTTGTCTTGGGCTATTTTCAGGTTTGTAGGCTGCCCCAGTCTTCAGATACATGAGGGCTGCTTTGCTCTTGTGATCACATAGTCCCATAGCTGTAAAACCAGAATCACAAGGAGGTTGCACCTAGTCAGGAATGTTGGGAACAGCATAGAAGAGGTGTTTGGCACATAAGTAGACCACATGTCCCTCATTGTGACCTAATTCCAGAACATCTGGCTGGGCTGTTGGTTTATAGACTTTGTCTGTACCTCCCAGTGACCCCAGCTAGCCACAGGCTATGAGATCTCAGGGGTCCATTCCTGGGAAGGAGCCTGTGTTCCTTGTCCCCAAGCAAGTCTTCAGAAGGTTAGAAACCAGTGCTTGAAACCAGGCCAGAGCCACGACTTAGGAAGGGCAAAGAGAAGGTGCCAGGATGAGTAAAGCAGGCAAGTGGTGTAGCCAACCATAAACTCAGGAGTGACATGTGCTTCCTTCAAAGGCATTTTTGTTAATCATATACTTCTGAGTTCTGTATTTCCTTCAAGGCTGTTCTATCCATTTTGCAGATTGCCCCCCACCTCCACCCCATAATTGTTATTTAAAAAATTGTTTGAGGCCTGGCATAGTGGCTCATGCTTGTAATCCTAGCATTTTGGGAGGCTGAGGTGGGAAGATCACTTGAGGCCAGGAGTTTGACACCAGCCTGGCAACAGGGCAAAACCCCATTCTGCTAAAAAAAAAAAAAAAAAAAATTAGTTCGGCTTAGTGGCATGTACCTATAATCTCAGTTACTGGAGATGCTGAGGCACAAGAATTGTTTGAATCTGGGAGGTGGAGGTGGCTACGAGCCAAAATTGTGCCACTACACTCCAGTCTAGGTAACAGAGCAAGATTCTGTCTCAAAAAAAATAAAAAAGATTGAGTCGGGTGCAGTGGCCTCTTCCTATAGTCCCAGCTATTTGGGAGGCTGAGGCTAGAGGATCACTTGAGCCCAGGAGTTTGGGTCTAGTCTGGGCAACATTTAAATAAATAAAAAGGAAAAAAAAAAAACCCACTGTTTATATGCTCATTGTCAAGTAGAAGAGCGTTTTGTTTGTTGTTTGTTTTGATCAATGAGGAAAAGCCTTTCATGGCTATAATCATAATTTATGCTTAATAACATTTGAGAGTAGCCCTGTGTGCTAGAACTCTGCCTGAAATGATCAGTTGCTGTCACCCTATTCTTTAGCACAGTGCCCAGGAGACAGACTTCTAAAAGGCCACTCTGAGACCAACATCATTTGACAGAGAGGGAGTCGTTGAAGTCCCAGGAATTTAGGACTGTGTGGATAAGACCTCAGACAAGGTGGTAGAGGTAGACTTGCGGACAAGGCTCAGGTCCCAGCCCACCACACCCCCAACTTTAATCATAGCAGTTCACTAATCTATTTTTGTGGGATAGCTGTATGGTGTGGGCCATTTAATGAGAAGTTACTGTATGCAGAACACTATTCTAAGTTTTTCATATCTATCAGTCATTTAATTCTCACATAACTTCAGAAGTAAACAGATATCCCCATTTTAGAGATGAGGAAACCGAGAGAACTTAGGTCATTAACTCAAGGTTGTAGAGTAAGCGGCAAAGCCAAGACACGAAGCTGGGCGGTTTGGTTTCAGAACCAGTGCTTTTCACCTCTACTGTACTGCCTCTCAACCAACACAGGGTTGCACAGTCCCCTTCTCTGATTTTGTCCTCTCTTCCTCTCCCTTTAGCTCCCACTTCCCCTCTGGCCCTTTCTAGTTCATTTTCGGCAGAGCAGCCCGAGTGATCATAAAGTGCAAATCTTACCATGTCAGTCCCCTGCTTAGAACCCTCCAATGGCTCACCACTTCTCTTACTATAAAGGCGGAAGTCCTTACCCTATGCCTTCTCCCATCTCATCTCAAGCCCCTCATTTGTTTGTTCTCCATTGTCAGCCACTCTTCTTTCAGGTCCTCAGATGCACTGTGCCCTCACCTGCCTGACTGTCTTTGCACCTGCTGCTACCTCTGCTTGGACAACTCCTCACCTTCCTTTTTCCAACCCCAACCCTTGTATAGGTGACTTATTCATTCTTCAGAAGCACTTGTCTCTTCCATGGAGAACACTCGCCTGTTGTCTTGAGACCCTATCAGGCCCCCAGGTGGGATCCTCTCATGGCTTCCCATATGTTTCTTTCACAACATTTACATAGTCCATGATAGTTTACTTGTGGGATGATTTGGTTAATCTTTGCCTTTAACACCAGACTATCAGTTCCTTGGGTGAAGGAGCTTCATGGTAATAGTGTTATTTCAAGCATATTGTCTTGTATATAGTAAGACCTCAATAAATATTTGGAGAACGAATGAATGTTGAATGCACACATCAATAATGAAATTTCCGTAGCTGCTTTTGGCCTCTAAATCTCTGTCGGCATTGGAATTTACAGTCTTAACAGCCTTTATTCTGTTAAGAGTTGAGAAAAGAAGCCCTAAGGCATAGCCTGCTGGGCAGATGTGCTGGGTGATTGCACAGGCTGCACCCACACAGACCTGCTCATCCAAGGGGTTTCTGCCTGTGAAACCCTTCTCCCATGAGAAGGGGAGAGAGCACTCCGTCTCAGTTGCCCACTTGCCTGGGACATGGTAAGTCCTACTGCTGGGAGAACAGATGGGAAAGTGTGCTCCCACAAACTAATCCTTCAGCCTCACAGCTGGAAGGATTCTCTCACATTGTTTTGTTTTGTTTTTCTTTGAGATGGAGTCTTGCTCTCTCACCCAGGCTAGAGTGCAGTGGCATGATCTCTGTTCACTTCAACCTCTGCCTCCGGAGTTCAAGTGATCCTCCCACCTCAGCCTCCCAAGTAGCTGGGACCACAGGTGCATGCCACCATGCCTGGCTAATTTTTTTGTGTTTTTGGTAGAGACAGGGTCTCACCACATTGGCCAGGCTGGTCTCAAACTCCTGAGCTCAAGCAATCTGTCTCGGCCTGCCAAAGTGTTGGGATTACAGGCATGAGCCCACCCGTTCCTGGCCTCTACATTGTCCATTTAGTTAATGGTTTCTACTTAATCCTTCAAGGCACAACTTAAGGTTACCTCTTCTGAGACTCCCTCACATAGTAGTCAGTACCTTTGTTGAAAGTACCAGAAACCTAATTTCAAAGAGACTGGGCAAAATAGAAACTTGATGGTCATCATACCAAGTCATCCCATGTAACTTCGGGAATGTTAAGGATAGCTGGGCTTCAGGAACTCAAACACTGCCTGTAATCACTCTGCCTCTGCATGCCTGTGTCATCTTCTCATTCCTGCTCCTTCCACAAAGCAGAAAGTGTGACTGCTAACAACCCCTGTGGTGTTCATCCTACACCTCCAATGCCAGAGGGGAACTGCCTCTGTTTTCTTATTTCTGATTTGAAAGATCCTGGGGAGAAATCTTTTGTCTAATCAGTGATGGCCAGGGCAGCAGGGTCACATGCCATAGATATGGCCTTTAGGAGCCAACACTTAATGTTTTGGGGTAGTTCCCAGAGATGGGACCACAGAGTCCACATCTGTAAGTGGTGAATTAGGTGTTCCTTCCAGGTGATGCCTGGCACATTGTTCATGCTTAATCTCTGATTTCTCAGGTGGTGAGTGGAAGTCTGGGAAGAAAGAGTCACTGATGAGGTGTTTGGCTGGGCAATTCCACTTGGGTATAAGAGGGGTGTCCTACTCAGGGCAGAAACTTTTAGATATCACCAATATCCACTTTCTCCTCCTAAAAAAGTGAACTGATTTTTACTTCAATGCATGGCCAACCAGATAGACTATTTCTCAGTCTCCCTGCTCAGAAGGCCATGAAACTACATTTTATCTAATGGGGTATATACAGAGTGTGTACATCTTATGGGAAATGTCTTCAGAGGCAGGTGGCATGCCCTTTCTCTCTGTGGCCTGGAATACAGATGTGATGACTGTTGTTGGAGCAGCTGTCTTGGGCCTGAGGTAGAAACTGTTGAGGAAGGCAAAGTAACAAAATAGAGGAGCATGGATTTGTCATACTACATAGGTCAATGTGTGGGAGAAACTGCATTCTGTCTGTGTCACTGTTATTTTGGGTTTTCTGGCTGTCACAGCCAAACTTTATCTTACATCATTCATAAGCAGGTATGAAACAAGTTTATCAGTCCCAGTGGAAGGCCTTATTCATAGATGGCCTCCCAGTCCTGCCACCTGCAAGTCTATCAGCAATTCCTGTCCAGTGTTTCTATTCCAGTGGTCCAGGGAAGGTAGCTTCGTGCCTTCCTGTGCACTTTCTGCCCACCCTACAGCAGGAATCGGAGTCTGTAAAACTGCTCTCACCTGCCCAGGCCTTTCTCCATACTCCTTTCTCCTGCCACCGTTATCAAGAGGCTCTGCCTATTCAACATATACCACAGGAGGGGGTCTCTGTCTATGGTGACAGTTCTGAATGCTGTGTGTCCCTGTGGGACATTGTGTGAGTGCATGTGTGCAGGACGTGCCTGGGGCTGTGTCTAATGTCAGAATATTTGACAACCAGTCAGAGCGGGTGTTGACCAAAAGAGCAGAGCAGCATCTGGAAATCATCCTGCAGTTCCAGGAATTAATCCCAGACCCTAGACACCGAGAGACCCAGTTGTTTCCAGGGAACAATCTGGATGGCTGGGGTACAGTGGGGAGGGGGGCACTCAAAGGCCTTGGG